TCCAGATAAAATAAAACAAAACTCTCTGGCTTAAGGAAATCAAGGAGCTGAGCTGCTGCTCTGCTGAAGGCAGCACATATTCCGTGTGTGGCACTGGACAGCTCAGTGGGAAGCTGTGGAAGGGAATAAATGGGATTTGCTCTCTGTCCAGTGCTCGCCGCTCTCTTCCTGCCATGTCTCTAACCTGGAGGTCAGCGTTCAAGGACTTGGGTGCAGCTGTGGCAGAGCTGGTCCCAAACCTCCCCAACCTGGCTCTGTCCCTCGCTGGACCCGTTAAGGCAAGCCCAGAGCACAGGATTTACCTCATGGCTGAGGTCCCCCACCAAATCTGCCTAAGAGAAGGCAGAACCTTCCCATTTTTAGGTGGTAGCCTATTCAGAGTGCTTCTTGCATGCTCCTACCCCTTCAGTGGGGCTCAAACCTCCAGTCCTTCAGGAGGATCTCAAGGAAGGCACAACAAACGACATGTCAGCAACCTGGTCTAGTGGAAGGCGTCCCTGCCCGTGGCAGGGGGTTGGAATGACATGGCCTTTACAGTCCTTTCCACCCCAAACCAGTCAGTGATTCTGTTATCTTCACCTGATAGGGCTTTTGACTGGCACAGAGAGCGGGGGTAAGGTGTGTCAGGGGTATGGCACGGGGGAAGGTGCGGACAGAGAGATCCATGGGGAGCTAATGTAATGTGAGTAGCATTTGGGAATGGTTTCCTCTTTGCTTGCTCTTGACGTGACTCTGTTGGCTCAACTGGAGGGGTCTCTGCCTTCTGGGCTGAGTGGGAGGGGAGGATCATCCGCTCAGCCTGCATCCTCTGGGCCATGAGGAGGAGCAATATTCCCAGCAGACATCTCTCACTTCTCTCTTAACAGTGTAAGATGATTAGGGCAGCTGTGCTTTGGAGTTCCTGCCCTAAACCCACGCCACATTTATTTTGAAAGCTTTCCCGTGTCAGATGTTTCTGGTTCCGCCTGTAAAACGGTGTTTCCTGACATCCTTCCCGAGAGCCCCTCTGTACTTTCTTTCCTCGGAGGTTGCCGCTCCCCAGTTTTGCTTCTAGATCTGCATGTGCCCTCTCCCCATGCTTTCTGAACACCCTCAAACCTCTCTGAGTTGTCAGTGTGCCTGATGTCTCTCAGGCACGTTTAAATCAGTGCACAGGACATCTGTGGGTTCCCCTTAGTCTGGGCTGGCTCTGCCACCTCAGGTGGCACCGCAGTGGGTGCAGGGCCAAGCAGCATCCATGGATTTGCTCTGCATAAGGACAGGATCACAGGATTGTTTGGGTTTGAAGAGACCTTAAAGATCATCTCATTCTACCCCCTGGCCTCGAGCAGGGACACCTTCCACCAGACCAGGTTGCTCCAAGCCCTGCCCAACCAGGCCTTGGACACTGCAGGGAAAAATAAGTCTTAATGTGAATATCTCTATTTTGGTCAGAATACGCATTTTCCACTGGAGTCAAGACAGATGGAACATTCTGACCATCCGTGCAGCAGCGCCTCACTCCTGACTGCATGCGGTTGGTTTGGAAGAATAAGCTTATTTAAGGTTCAGACTATTAAAAACATCTGCTTTCCCATGTATCCTGAAACACTGCAGGATCTGAAAAAGGAGAACATGTATCATGCTTGTCCTGCCACTATAAAACCTCGGCTCCAGAGTTTAAATTGTGGGTTTTAATGATGGTGTATCTGTATTATTCAGTCCTGTGCAATGCACTGTTGGTTATGGTGCTGTGATCCACTTCCCTGAGCTGGAGCTGGGCCACCTGACCATATTTTCAGTGTGTGGTTAAACATCAATCTGAATAAGCAAAATAATCACTTCCAGACTAAACACAATTTCAGATTTGTTTAGAATATCGAACAAGCTTTGTCACTGGGAGATGTCTCTTCTGTGACATCAGGCTGCACCAGTGTGTCACTGCTGATGACAGTTTCTTTTTCTGAAAATTCACTGAAAATTCACTGAAAGTGCTCCTTTGACTGTGGTGACTTTTGGCTAAGGGTCAGTCTCTGTCTTATCTCTGGGCATCTCTGAGCATTAATATCTGCGCCTTCAGTGGCCCCTGTGGGGCAAAAAGTTACATACAGTTGTCCTCCTCTTTCAGATGGAAAAACTGGCTTGTGAAGAGGCAATAAAAATGCCCATCTGCTTAGCTTGGAATGACTTGGGAGAAGCTGGTGACAGCACTGGAGGACAGCAAAGATTTGGCATAGATTGAGTGGCTACAGGACCCTTACTTTTTTTTTTAGCAAAACTGTTTGCTGGTGGTCAGGGAGAAGGGAAGGAAAGATGCTTTATGTCTCAGGGGTGCTGGAAGAGCAAGTAGAGCCCATGTCTGTGTGTGACTACTGACTCAGTGTCATGGTTATGATTTTTTTAGGCTCTTTTTTCTGTTTTGGATGTTCAGCCCTGACACTGTCCTGACAGGATGCTTTTCACTGCTTGCTTTCTTTCCCAAAGCCCTGAGATTGGAGTCTCTTGTTGATATTGTGCCCTGGAGATGAGCAGTGAGAGCTCCAGCTGAATAAAATAAACCCTTCTCTTTTTTTTTTGGCTAATTAGTCTGTCTTCTTGCTGTCTACACTCCTGCAGTTGTGGCAAGAGTTTATAAAGCACCTGTGGCCCTCAATAATTCTCTGCCTCCCTGTTTCTCTGGAGGGAAAGATGCTGTTAAATTCAGCATTCCACCAGTCAGTTATTTCAACCTTCTCCTGCAATGTTTGTGATTGCTGAAATTATTTTTGTATGTTCAAAAGTGTCATATTTTTTTTCTGTGATTGTACCTAAATAGTAAAGGGCACATTGCAATGGATAGCACATTGTTGGTTTGTTTTTTTTTTTTAAATCATCTGAATACAAGAATGAGGATGGAGAATTTGTGGCAAGTTGCTGTGTTGGTGAACAAATGGGCTCAGAGGATTTACCTTCCCAAAGTAACTGCAGCCATTAAAAAGTCCTTCTGCGTGGTTTTTGGCTTTTCTGAACACATTCTTATCAGGATGTTTAGTTTGAAAGATACTTTTTTTATCTACTGAGAAATGTCTATTCTGTTTGTTTGGTTTTTTTTCAGAAGTGAAGTTCTGAAACTTATAAGAAGTGCCTCCATTTATATTCCAAGAGCAATTAGGACTTTTCTTTAGGATGCTGCTTTCCTCAAAGTTTTAAGAATAGGGCATTCAGAGCTGAGGGTGGATGAGTTCTGTCCTGTTTACGAAGTCATGAAAGCATCTGGATACACTACAGAAACCCTCAACCAAAAGCTTTTTGGAGTCTCTTTCTAATATAATCATCCAGGCTTACTCCACTAATCCAGGCATGTATTGGATTTGGATGGGAGATGAGGAAAGAATCAAACTGATATTGTGGAATAGAAATATATTGCTAAGATTGCACTGCTTAAGGGAAATATCCCTAAATTGTGATTATTAATTGCATGTGCTTTTCAGCATCCAACTGGTTCTTCTACAGTTGATTCACAGCCCTCCTGAGAGTCAAGCAGATCAACTGGGAAGCAGAATCTGTTCAGTGAGCAAGTTATCAGGGAGCAAAGGAGCAGAGTAGTGGTGTGGCCCTGAGTTTTCAGGGCATCACTCATCTTGGCCTTCATTGCATCAGTTTCTTAATGACCGTGTGGGAAAAAATATAAATAATAATAATAATAATAACAACTCTAAATAATAATAATAAATAAGAAAACCTGAGGCACCACTTAGTGTCTATTGTCCCAGGATAAAGAGCTTCATCCTGTGAAGTGTACACACAAAATAATTCAACATGTGGTGCATGAATGACCTGTCCTTATTGTAATTTACCTCTCCACAGTCTTTGTCTCCTATAAAATTAGCAACAATGTTCGTAATTTTATTTCCCAACATCTGATATGTTGTAGATTGTGGCTGCCCCATCCCTGGAAGTGTCCAAGGCCATACTGGATGAGGCTTGGAGCAACCTGGTCTAGTTTAAGGTGTCCCTGCCCATGGCAGGGGACGGAAAGAGATGGTCTCAAACCGTCCTGTGATTTCTGTGATATCCCCTTACACTCTTTTGCCCTTCAGCAATTTTCAACCCAGGCACTACCTGAGTCTATTTATCTCCAGCTCCTTACATGGTTTTTTTTTTACTATGTCTCTGCCTTAAGATCTTTCAGGTATCCCAGCTGCACTTCAGAGAGTGTGCATTTCCAGGCTGAGCAGAAAAGTTTAGTTAAGCTGCTGATTAATGTGACTTTCAGTTTTCCCACACAGCAAGGTCACAGCAGTTTAGTCTGTAACAGGATTTTACCCCTCTGTGAGCACTTCCAAAAGAAGCCCTTGAAGCGATTCAAGAAGTCATTTGAAATGATTCCATGAAAAGAGATTGGGATGGCTATAACATTTATTTCTTCCTGTTTGCCAAGCCAAGAGGAGCTGGGAAAGAAAGGAGGGATGCAAACAGATGTGCAGGAGTGTGAGCACCGGTGCTGGTGGCTTCGTTCTTCACTTTGGGGTGAATTCTGGTCTCAGCCCACCCCAGGATAGCTGGTGACACCTCACTGGAGGTACTCCAGAACTACCTGGATGCGATGCTGTGCAATGTGCTGCAGGATGGCTCTGTCTGAGCAGGAAGGTTGGACCCACCGTGGTCCCTTCCAGCCTGACCCATCCCGTGATTCTGTGAGACCAAAGCCAGCCCAAGGGCTGGAGAAGTTTCCATTTTCTTTAAATTCCCCCATCTCAGTCTGGGCTTGGGGGATTGCTGGACTGTAATAGGTAAAGGAGACCAGAGCAAAGGTCACTGGTACCTGCAAAGCTGCTGTGGGAGAGTGGTTTGTATGAGCTGGAAGCAGGTCAGGAACTGGTGGATCAGTTCCCAGCAGCAGCCATGGGGATGGCCTGCAGGAAGCAGCTGAAAGCAAACAAACACTGGGTTTTTACTGCTTCAGAGAACTGTCTGGGTCACCTCCTTATCTGTGATTTGTGTTTCTCAAGAGTAGGCTGCTCTGCTATCTGGATGAGAAAGACTCACCACCTTGGAATTAAAGCTGGGAAATGCTTTTGGAAAAACAGAAGAGGAGAATAGCGTTGTGTCTCTGGCCTGGCAGGTTTGTATAGGTTTGGGGTTTTTTCCATTAAGATGAGAAATTGATTACTTTATTTGGAGAGAGGTATTCCTTGGAAAAATCGTTATTTGCTCACACACCGTGTCCGTGCTGTCCTGTTGCTACGATCCCAAAAGAAACAAACAGTTTCCTTGTCAAAAACATACAACTCTCTTCAGCAGGCTGTGCCCAAAAGCTCTGTGTGTCTTCCTGCTCCTCCAGACATGCTTCCCCCTTCCTCCTTGAGGCTTTCTCGAGTACTTAAAAGACACTTTGCCTTGCCTTTCTTTCTGTCTGTGGATCTCAGAGTCAGCCATTAACAGCTTCCAAAGGGAACGGTGTGTTCTGGAAGGACAAGGATTTTAGCTCTGGGTTAAAACAAGGTGACATTTCTACTGGCTTTTCTTTTGGTTTGACTCTTTAGACTGTGTACTGCATTTCACTTTTCCCAAAGTGGTACTCCTCGCCCCTTGGGGACTTCAGAGACAGAAGGACTTCTTAGCTGTGTCATTTGTTAGGGCTGGACCACAACATGGGGATTCCCCTTTCTAGGGTGGCTGCTGTTTGCTCTGGAATTTCCCAGCATATCCTACTCTGGGTGCACAAACCATGCCCAGCCCTCTGAGAGCTGGATTTCACTGAGCTACCATCCACCACTGTGCCGGTCTGTCAGAGATTTGCTGACATCTTTAACTAAGAAGGAAAATCTTATTTGTTTTTCTCTTATTTGGTTTTTTTTTTTAGACTCACTCTGGGGGCAGCGAAAAACCATAAAGAGATAACTGATATTCAGTGGTGCAGCCTGACCCTGCCTGAGCTGCAACAGGAGGAAATTTGGCTTGCCACCAGAGTTATGTGTGTGCCTGTTTCCCTCAAACCAAATGGGAAAGCCTTTGGATCCCGTTCAACAGGTTGAGATGACTCAGTCACCGAACTCAGACTCCCAGTACATACAGTATTTGACACAAAGACTGATCCCTGTTGGCTCACTTACTGGGGATATTTTTGTAGCACATTGCAAAATCCTGTCCTGTTGAACTCCCTGACAGCTCCTGCTCGCTGCTGTGCCTTGTGGTGGGAGCTGGACCTTCATTACCCTCCATGCACAGCGAGGAATGGGCAGATTCTGACCCAGTTACATGGTCTCAGCCTCCTCCTTGTCGTTATTCCCAGGTTCTGTGGGACATTTCTTCAAACCTCTCATCTCTGACGAGCTCATCTCCTATGGCCTGCAACAGGGGGCAAGACTTTCATAAACCTTCAGCAGCTGTGAGAGGTAAGATTTTCCAAAGCACTTACCCTGTGAACTCCACTTCTGTGGAAATCAGTGGTGAATGATCTCGATTTCTGTGAATCCAGGGTAAGAGCAACAATAGGATTTTTGTAAAAAAACCAACAGATTAAGCCAAGTTTTCAGCACTTACCATCCTGAATTCTCTTTAAACACAAGAAATTAAATCCCAAACAAGAGCCCCAAGGGGACATAAAATTTTCCCCCCGTGTTTCAGCCCACAACATGGGAGCACACCTGAATGTTCCTGCCTCTGTTTATCCTGTAAAATGGATATCAAAGATATATAATCTGAACAAAAAGTGGACTTTTCAGATAGATGAATGTGTGATCTTGAGTTAAATGAACCTTGGTCTTGAAGTATCAGGACATTTTCTGAAAGGCCTCTGCTCTAAAGCAAAGATAACAACATTGGTCTCAGGGGGAACAAGTTCCTCCTAAAATTATCACCATAGAATGGTTTGGGGTGTGAGAGTCCTTAAAGCCCATCTTGTTCCACCCCCTGCCATGTGTAGGGACATCTTTCACTATCCCAGGTTGTTCCAAGCCCCGTCCAGCCTGGCCTTGGACACTTCCAGGGATCCAGGGGCAGCCAGAGCTTTTCTGAGCAACTTGTGCCAGGGCCTCCCCACCCTCCCAGGGAAGGATTTCTTCCCATCCTGTCCCAGAAATCGGTGTCATTAGGCTGTAAATTTAACATATGACCAAAATGAAGTGGGTAGGTTACATTTATCTTATTTTTATTGATCAAGAAATTGGGAATGTCATCTCTTCCAGTGACGCTCCGTGAGACAGACTTGCTGTGGTAAGCCCTAAACAGGCAGATAAAAGGGATGAAACACTGAAATCCGAGTGCAAAGCCCATGAAAGCCAACCTTTCTGGAAGCTCTCCATCTCCCAGCTGTGTAAGGAGGCAGCACGGAGCTGCCTCTCCCTGTCTGTGTTCCTGGCCGTGCATGCCAGTGTGGTAAAAGTAACCATATTTTCTATTTAGCGGGAGGGCTTAATTACCACCTGCTTTGGGGCTTTCCTTCAGCTGAGACTGAGGAGACAGGAAGAATTTGGCTGCTGTTTCCTGCTCCTGCAGCACCCAGCCACACCGGGAGCTAGAGCAGCCCCGTGGCTCCTGTGTTTTCAGTGGCCCCTGTGGTGGGAAGGGATTAGAGGGACTTGCAGCTGCTTCAACACCCACCCCCTTGTTCCAGGCACGTGTGTGTCAGTCCCCAGCAGACCCCTTGGCTGTGTCCAGCTTCAGATAAAAGAGGGACACTAAAATCTGTTTACAGGCAGTCTGAGCAGCCCGTTATTCGGGCTGGGTTGTTGGCTCTTGCCCATCTGTGATCATTCAAGGGCTTAGGTATTGCCAGTGAACAAAAATAAGTGCTTTTACTCCCTTCTTGTCAGCAGAATTAACTGTTCTTAAGCTGATATTTGCTTTCATGGCAGAAGCAGTGCATCCCAAAGGTCCTGTTAATAATGTATACATGGCTGAAAAGGTGCAAATCTGGCTTTTCTTGGGTTTATGATGATGGAAACAGAAGAATGAAGGCAGCAAAGCTTCCAGAGAGCCTTCAGCTCTGTGTCTGGCACTTATGTTCATCTCTGTTAAAAGAACCTGCAGAAATTATAAGGGAGGGAGAAAAAAAGGCAGCCCTGTTAACACCACGGATTCTTCCTTTTCCACGGTAGAGTCTTGGAAAGGCCCTTCCCTCCTCCTC